ATAAAGAAAAACAGGGGAAAAGGGAAAATAGGGCTAAAAAACAAAGACTAAACGGAAAAAAAAAACGATACAAGGAAACAGAAAATGCGGCGTCGCCGGGAGTCGAACCCGGTTCGTCTACAGGTGCAAGCAACTCCTTGACCACTGCACCACACTGAAACACACCTTTTTGAAGCTGGTAGAGCTGTATTTATCATTAATTCAATTACACATTTGAGGAAAGTTAGCTTAAGCGCGTATTTCAAAGCTATTTCGCATTATTTCCGGTTCAACGGGCCGCTCGATGTAGATAATCCATCAAACTAACTTTACTGAATTTGGTGGCGAGTTAGGAAATCAACAGAGGCCCACTCTCGAAAGGATTGATATGAAGTTAGGTCGGTTTAATTAGCAAAAGAATGTATGGAATATAAACATGTATGATCTGTCAATGGAACCTCCTAAAGCTCACACACTTACGATCAAATTAGCGATATTTGCTAGCTTCTTAGCTTTTCCTCGACCTCGCTCGTCCTAATAACTGTGGTATCCCTTGCTAATTTGCAAAAGCGACCCGAGGTTCTTGCCTGTTACTATGTGACGTCACACTGGCAGGCGGAGTGGGTCAAGATATGACTGACCATCATGGCGGCGGCGACGACAGATATTGCTCCGACTGAAATCAATCCACATTTGGTTTTTAAACCTCAAAAGAATCAATTTAAATGGAACAGTGACTTAAAAACCTTACGAGACTTCTGGATTGCTGAACTGGAAGGGGGAGATGAGAATAATTTAGTGAGTGTAAACTCCAACGGTAACACAGAGGTGTTAAAGTTTGAATCGGTAACCGTTAACTTCTATTCCTCCACAAAAGCTTTACAAGTGCAAGGCTCACAAAAGGATCAGTATGTAAAAAAGCTTCGGAATATTGTCGAAAAAGGAACTAAATCTCAAGATACTCTGATCGAAGTCACGCCTAACAGTGGAAGTGCTGAGATTACTGAACCAGTGTTGAATTTGAAACCAACAAGTGATCACAATGACCGTTATGAAAAGTTCGAGGCCTTTATCAAAGAACAACGCGACTTTAACAAGAATATTGAAAGTCATATTTCCTCTAACTCCACAGAAATAAGTGAATGCACGATAGAGTTAAAAGATTTAGAACAAAAGCGTAAAAACCAAGCAAAAGAAGTAGAACTATCCTGCGAAAATCATATTCAAGCGGTTACGGACAAAATCGGCGAAGAGGTGCAAAAGTTAGCAAAGCAAATTGCAAATCTATCCTCCAAACTGTCTTCGGATCTAAAAACACTGAAAACTAAACCATCATCTACTGAGGACTCGATCAAACACATTTTACAACAACTCAACGAGATTAAAAATCAAGTGTGTATATCTGAACAGTCACTCAGTTCACAGTTACAAGAAACAAAGCCATCAAGACCCTGCATCACAACTTTCAACGGTAATAGCGGACTCAAATGAGTACACGTACACAGTAGCTACCTCAAACAGGTATGAAACTCTAGTCGAGGGAAATCGCTTGATCGTTGAATTTATCCCACCAAACACGCAGCCTAATCCATCATCTACTACTACTACTTCAAGTCCCACTACTACAAGAACGCAACCACCAATCTCCCAGTCCAACGATCAACTTGCTTCTACATCCTCCTCAAATCGGAATCATGTGTACAACCCAAATGAGCGATTATCAAAGGGACCGGTGCTGTTGTTAGGAGATTCGATGATAAGAGGAATACAGCAACGCAAGTTCGCCGCAAACCGTTACGTAAACAAACAAACTAGCGCTGGGGGAACGAGGGAAATAAGCCAGTACATCAACCACATGCAGGAAAGAAATGATTATGATTACATTGTAATCCATTCCGGTACAAATGATATCGGGAAACTGACCGCAAATGAAATCAGAACAAAGATGGAAAACTGCCTCGTCAACCTAAAGCATACATGGCCGAAAAGTACGATAGAAATTTCACGAGTAACCTACGTCCCACGGGATAACAGTAAAAATCAGCTTATTGATGAAATCAACTGCCACTACGAAAGCATATGAAGAGATCTAGATGTGACTTTCATCGACAACAAAAGAGTAACGTGCGACAACTACGGAAACTTAATTGACCAAGTATTAGGAATTTCTGCGTGGGGATGTGCCGCTGGGACCCTGGATCCCTTAACCTATACCATAGCTAGTTCAGCTGAATTTTGCTACCCTATACTAGAGTAAACTCCCCAAATCTCCCCTATCCTAGAGTAGCTGTTTTCCAGAAACTACTGAGGACACTAGCACAGTCTAGCCAAAACAAAACCTTGTACCTTAACATCTTCAATCAACTGATCAGTTTCCTGAAAAATGATACCCTATTCTAGACCCAAACGCTCTGATTTATATACCCTATCCTAGAGTAAACTACTTGAAAACCATGCCCTTCACAGCGGCAAATTAAATTCCTATATAGCCCATATATGGCAGTACCCCCTCCCCCCGGGATTATATAGCATACTTTTGAACCTAAATTTTATTTTCCTGAAGGGAGCTAAATTGTTGCGTGGAAACCCCCGCCCCACGCTTAAAGGAACTGTAACAAGTGCTTTAAATTATCAACGAGCCCAAACCAAATTTCTCTCCATTCGCTGTTATAAGACGGCTTAACCTTCGGACGTACACGCAAAGTTATACCCTCACCGTGGTACAATGAGCCGGGGGGGCGGGGGGGGGGCGGGGGGGGGCTGGGGTTGATGGATCCTCCCCTTATTTCGATTTTGCCTTCAGTGGAAAGCCTTTGACCTTAATTCTCTACAAGATGAAGTATATTTTATGCTTGGTAGCACTGCTAAAGGTGTGTAATGTCACCAAACGTGGTAACCATCTTGCATTTTTTAAGAACCAGAAATCACTTAAAAACAGTGACATTTAATAATTTTTTGCGCCTAGCAAGTAAAACAACACATAAATAATTACTTTGCATCATTTTATCCAGAAGTTTTTCTTTTATTCCTGAAAAAAGTTGAAAAACATGCATTTTCACTCAAAAATGGGTTGACCGCCTGCTACTTATGACGTCATATCTCGTATCCATAGTAACTGACCATCTTTAAACTTGTCTTAAAATGCGCGTGAGGGATAAACGAACAGCTATAGAAAACTTAAGGTTTCGATGTTTTATCGTCTAGGTAAAAAATCAGAAAAACCTTGTCTCACCTAATTGCAAAGCATCGTTATGAAGACATCTGCTGCTAATGTATTACAGAGTGTTCGCAGATTTATGCACCTATCAATGTAGACCCCGTGGGGGGGGGGGGGGGGGGGGGGGGGAGGGGGGGGGGGTTTTTAAAATTTTAAAATTTTTTCAAAAAATTTCCCCGGGGGGGGAAAAAAAAGGAAAAAAAAAAAGGAAAAAAAACCCCCCCCCCGGGGGAAAAAAAAAAAAAAAAAAAAACTTTTAAATAATAAAAAAAAAGAAAAAAAAAAAATAAAAAAAGCAGTAACAAAATTTTTTTTGCAGTTAANCTCCTAACGAAAATTTTATTAAGAGGAGGACTGGCACTAGTCAATGAACACCAATTGCACCTACAAATTGTAAAGATTCCAACCATTCCAGGCTGATTTCGTAGACACTTTGTAGGGTCAAAGTTTTGATACAGAGAAACTGGAGTTACACGTTTAGGAAGTGGTGGGCATCGTTAATTGAAATTTATGAACAGAAGAGGGCGTGGTCGATCACGTGACGAAATAATTTGGATTTTTTTTTTCAAGTTTTTGTTAAGGTTAGTTTACTTTACCACCTGTTTTTCAAGGAGGATGTCTTTAACAATAGTTGTTGGAAAATTTGCATAAAAATCGCAAATCACGTAGAACCAGACCTTAATCTACTTGAGGAGCCTGTTGTAAGAGAGGCATTTTATAATTAATTTTATACCTAGGCCTATTCTCCATACATGACTTTCTACTTATTGTAAGCTATTTATGATGGTATTAGAGCATGGTGCATCATTTTCAGTGGTACATATTAGGAGATTCCCCAGTACCGTTCTTCTATCCCGTAATCCCGACCCAAAATTTCGTGCACTCCCGTAATCCCGAGGGTTATTTTTCCACATCCCACCTCCCGTGATGCTTTCAATCCCGAAACTTGCCCCGATTTTTCTTAAAATCCCGGGTCCCGAGTTTCAAATATGGGAAACTCCGGATCCCGAAAACCAATTTGGGGCCTTGTATCAGGTAGTACGAGGCCTGGAATTCGTTTAAGAGGTCCAAACTATGAAGCTTTCCTAAACATTTCCATAAATTTGCGTAGTCACGATCATTTTCAAGTGATAATTTACCTCAAAAACTTGTGAAAGTAGGTGGCTATTAAGTGAAGGGGTTACTGATCTAAACGCAAATGTTGTTCAAGTTCGGCACTGCCGAGACAACAAAGGCGTCACTATTTGCGGTACCTCTGCCACAGTTTTGTTGTGAATATGGGGCTTGAATCGCCAGTTTCAATAATGTGCCACTAAACACTATCATCGGATCAAAGTCCCTCCATTTATAAACCCTCCGAAAACATCTTAAGAAAATGTATTAACGCAGGGCTTATAACCCGAACTTTACAATGCGTAAAAAGGCGGTATCACAACCGAGTATTATTATAAGACAAGAGGAGTCCGCAATCCTAATCGCCATCACGCCTGCACTGTACGTATTGCATGCACCTTCGTTTGGACTTCCACTAAGAATGCAATGGAATGCAGAGGTCGTAATCTGATAACGCTCGTCCGGACCTTCTATCACTCGTTATCTGATTACGCCTTATTTGACTTTCTATCACTAAAACTTACGCAAAGCACAGCGTTGGTTGAGCAAGAGCATCATGTCAGACCTTCGCTGTCGTCCGCATTCCGTAACCTTTAGTATATAATATATCTTTGTTGTCACATACTGTCCTGCGTAGAATTGATTCAAGATGCATCTTAACTAAAATTATAATTATTATTTAGATATAGAC